CTATTATCACCCTAAAATTGCTGTCCCTACTGTCATCTTAACTACTAAAACATTGGATGCTCCCCCAAAGAGACGATTGAAAAATTGGCAAAAAGAATTCAGACCTATTGGATTGGTGACAATCTGATTTGTCATCTTGATAGACTTTAACAGACGCAGACTTTACATCATCTGACTGAACCAGATTCATTCTTTTGGCTAAGGTGCTGTCCGAATTGTATCAACCCCTAGCTGTGCATAATAACCAGATAACCTCATCTTTGCAATAACACTCAATGTTTCGGGTTCAACACTGCTAACAGAGCTTAGATTATGGCAGACAACAAGCAAGAACCAAGTGAACACCCGATTACCTATCGATCCTGATCATGGATCACATGCCATTACTATAGCAGTCATCCAAACTCTGGAGTGCATGATCTAGAATTTCACCAGATGTTTTATAACAATGCCTTGCCTTCTCTGAAGCAAGCTACCTATACTTTGCCCCTGGACTCCAGAACTAATATGTTGATATAGTGGGATTGTGATGTGGGTAAGCCCGCTTCATTGTTGGATTTGCCCCTCTTGAGTGAGATATGTCAGCCTGGGCTTCTTGCCTCTGAGTCAGAAGGTTGTTGATTCAAGCCCCACAACAGGACTTGGAAATATATCAGGCTGGTCCAATCTTTTGGCTGCCGAAGGCCAGAATGTCTAGTTAAAAATTGTCATTGGGGTGCATAAGCAATATTTTGTGTTTACCTCCAGAAATGGTGCGGCAGATGGGGTGGAGGACATGAAGCTAGCTGGAAGATGTGATAAGGGGCTATATCAAATGCAAAGATTATTATTGCTATTATTACAATGCTCAGTTCACCTCGCCATTGCTGTAAGTTGCTCTAATCTTATAACCTACTTCAGCCAATTGGAGGAGTTTGTAGACTGAGTGATGGGAGAGGAAGGAGCAAAACTAGGAATCAATAACTCATCTCAGAATCTTGTAAGGGAAAGGGAGTCGTTTTTGAGAGCTCAGAATTGTGCTCTGCTACTTTTAACAGCACAGAACCCGCCCCTGGTTAGTGACACATGACATTCTGTCCACCTGCGACCAGGGCTCCCTCTGCCTCCTTGTCCTCAACTTCTCTGCTGCCTTCAACACCGTCGACCATTCTATCCTCATCCATTGTCTCTCCTCTCACCTCAACCTCCATGGCTCTGACCTTGACTGGTTCAGATCATACCTCTCACACTGTCTCCACTTCATCTCCTCAAATGGCTTCTTCTCTAGCCCCCGCACCTCCTCAGGGCTCTGTTCTTCGTCTCCTTCTCCTACGCTCCCTCTTGGTGACAGCATCTCAGACATGAGGTCAACTTCCACATGTATGTGGATGACACTCGACAGTACCTATATTTTGCTCCTTGACTCCAGAACGGATGACACTCTACTATCTATACTTTCCTCCTTAACACTAGGATGGATGGACACAATACTGTACCTGTTCCTTCCCCCTTGACCCCAGGATGGATGACACTCAATTGTACTTAAATCTTCCCCTTTGACTCCAGGACCCACTGGTATCCTGACAGAATGTCTGTCAGACATCAATAATAATAATCAATAATAATCCTTGCATTTGATATAGACCTTTTCACGTCTTCTAGACGTCTCAAAATGCTTCACAGAACACACTGTAAAGTGAATTGTCAGTATATTTGTGGGCAGCCAATTGCGCACAGCAATGTCCCACAAACAGTCGTGGATTGAAAATGACCAATTTATTATTGTTTTTGTTTTTGGAGGGACTATTATTAATCATGGCTATTATTATTAATCAAATACTGGATGACAGCTAACTTTCCAACTGATGCTGTCAATTGAGAGATGAAACATGGGAGGTGTTGGGGTTAAAAAAAACACAAAGCAGCAAATAAGAAAAAAAAAGTTCTCCATTTAATATTTAAGACTTTGTCAACGTGAGATACAAGCGTTTTATGCAATTACATCCACATTAAAAGTCTTAATACATAATTTACAAAGATTAAAGATCCAAACAATTTATTAGATATGATTCTGTAAAAAGTCAATATATTAGCAGCATCTCATTAGCAAACAATCACACTGCTTACACCCATGCAGACTAGTTTATACCTATTTGCAGTAATGTAGTGCGTTTTTAATTAAAACAGCAATTTCGGTGATTTTGTGTTTTTATCTTAAAAATTAATCCACGCACGAAAAGTTAAAATAAAAGGTAAAAAATAAAAAACAACACACAAAAGTGTCACTTTCTAGGCCGGTAAGAGGGAAGGAGGGATGGAAGAAGATTGGGAGGGATGTAGATAGATGGATGGATGGATACAGAGAGAGAAAGATAGAGAGTCAGACAGACAGACAAAATAAAAAGACGTTATCTAATCACTGATTGTCTAAAACATGATTTTTTGTCTTTCAAGAAAGAGTAAATGACAGAGATAGTGTGGTCCTACATTATATAAAACTTTATATTTGTTTAGTGTTTGACACTCAAATGCAAGAGAGTGAAAATTATGCATAGAACGATAACCGATAATATTACTGAAAAGGTCCAAAAAAATTCCTATCAACGACACACTGAGTATCACATACTCAATATCTGTTACTGTACAGTGTTGCTTTGTAGTAAGAAAATAGTCAAAACAATCTCTCTTTTTTTTTTTTTTTTAATAAAATACGATCTCAAATGATATTTGCCTTTGAGACACAAAAAAGGGAATGGATGAGACGTCTTCCACTCGCTAAGGTAAGTTTTAAAGTAACGTGTATTTTCTCTGGTGTATCGGGCAGGACATAGTGGGTCCATTAGATAAAAGGGAATATGTGATGGGATAGGTATTGCTTACGACCACACAACTGAGAATGTGTACACATTGGCACATGGTTGGGCTTGGAGTTAAGGGGTTGTATATAGGGAGCAGGACTGCAGAAGCTTACATACCGACAAAGCAAAGCACTTTTTTTTGTTTTTGATTTTCTATTGGGGGTGGAGGGGGGGGGGGGGAGAGGGGTGGGTGGATGGGGTACGGGAGGGGGGAGCAAGGGGAGGGACTATACTGTACAGCTTGACAGAACACAGGCGTAGTGTTTATTACTGCTACTCGAATGTATTCTACTTCACGACAAATATTTTTTTTAAAAATTGAATACTGCTCTGTTTACGGAATGACTTTTTGCTCTCTCTCTCTCATTCTCTTTCTCTCTCATACTCTCTTTCACTTGCTCTCCTCGATTTGAGGAAGCGGCCTTTGATGAGAGGATATTATTGCATTGCAGCTACTTCTCCTCCCACCTCAGGTACTGTTCCAGGATTCAGAGAAACCAGGTAACCAGCAAAATAAACTGGATTGATTCCTCTCTGGCCTTGCTTGCCCCCCCACCACACACACACAATCCCCACTCACACCCACCCACAGTAAACCAGCATAGCCCTGGCTCTGAGGGTCATCTTGAGATTGCAGGTCAGACAATCCAACCATTCCCTCAGAGAATCTGGCTGCAGCCCTCCGAGGCGCGATCCTGTGTGTAGGTGCTGTATAAATACAAGTTGTTGTTAATTGCAGTCGGCTGACACTCTCCCTCCACCACAGTGGCCAACGGTAGTTGTGACTGACTTGGACTAACATTAGGAATATGGTTTGTGTTCAGCAGACAGATGGAAAGAAGTACTGAGCCAAAGAGCCTGTAACCTGCTGAGTGGTGGGGCAAGGCAAGAGAATGGGGAAGAGGGGGCAAGAAGCAGGGCCGAGTGACTCATTGCACAGTGGCGAATGCTGTAGAATGTGACGGAGATTTCTGAGCAGGATTATTTCACAATGCAGTGGGCACGAGATCTTAGGTTTGCAGGATATAGTCACAGGGAATCTCCCATGTGCACTCGCACACAGCAGGGAGGAGAGGGTAACAGCACAGCGCCAGGGGCAGGAACACCTCATGGCCTTGCTGGCTGAGGGGGTAAGGGGCAAGCAGGTGGCAAGCCAAGACACCAGGAAAAGTGATAGAAAGAGATGGTAAAACGTCTACCTGCAGGAAGAATATCCAGACTGAAACAGCTGGAATTCTCTGAATGATGCCACATTTACACCATATCAAGGGCTCTCCAGTCACTGACCATTCATTCCTTCAACAGAGATAAGAAAGTCGTTCTTTACTGTTCTCCCTGTGAGCCACAATGTCCTACACGTCCCTCTTGCTGGTCAGGCTCTGTGATGGTGTGAGCAGATTACCTGGGCCCCACTCTACTCCCCTGCCGTCTGTCCAGACGTCTCCGGCCTGTCCGAGGAGTCCTGTCCCAAACCTCAGCCTTTCCTCTCCGCTGGCCCAGCCTGGCCATAGACTCAGCTCTGAGACATCCCCCACCCACCCAGCCCCACAAGCCCCTGAGCACGTAGCACTGCCCCTCCCACACACCAGGTTTTCCTTACTTCCCATTTATTGTGAGAGAAGATTATTTTGAGGGGAGAAGGGGATCAGGCAGGCTGCCCTAATCAGTGTACTAATGACCTTGTAAAATGAGTGCAAAAACTGGTCTTGGATTGTAAACAGCCTCCCATTCAACAAGTCCATCCTCTTCCTTTTACTTGCTCCATACTGTGTTCATACACACAAACACACACATGTGCATCCACACACACACACACACAACAACAACAAGATTACATTTGTATAGTGCCTTTCATGTCGGGTGGACTTCCCAAGGCACTGGAAACACACACAAACACACACACATACATGCACACATGTACCCAGACACGCGCACACATACGCACACACACAAACTACACATACACACACACATACGCACACATACACACACACACATACATATGCACACATACACGCATGCACAAGCATACACATGCATACACACACGCATACACACATACACATGCATACACACACACATACACACACATACACATGCAGACACACACATAAAATCACACATGCATGCACACACAACAAACCCTGTTCATCAGTAACGATCACATTGATGAATCCATATGAATTAAAAGAACAGCGATAGAAAGAATTTCATCTCTTTGAAACGGCCTTCGAGCTTTCGATATCCGCTAGAGAACGTGTCCTGGCTGCCAAGGGCAGGTGGGTGTAACTCATCCCCAACACCTAAACGCACATTCACACATTCACGTACATTCGCTCACACACTCCCTCATGTATACACACACTGTAAGAGCTCTGCAGGTCAGCAGTGGGTGACCTATAAACCAAGTGCTAACCGTTGTGATCTCTTCACCCTCCTGTCCTGTTAGAGAGAGAGAGCTGGTGTCCGTGCCTTCTGCTCTCCCCCTCGCTCAGCACGGTGCGGGCTGCAGGGTTTCCAATGCAGGAAATGCTCCTTCCAGTTTGTGCCTCACTTCCTGAAGCTGCTCTCAGTTAACATTAGTGTACGTCGGCGCAGCCGCCTTCCAGAACCTTCTTCTAACAAATATGTAACATCAATAGCTAGAACACACAAAAACAGGGAGTTAGCTCACACCCATACAGCGAATGAATCATGCAGTCATGCAGAGATTTGTTTCAAATAATTTTGAGCTGGCCACATGTGGAGCACTGGGGACATTTCCTGCCTAGGCCCCTGGAGCCGAGAGGGGATACGCAGTGTTGGAGAAATGAGCTATGCAGACATGATCAGATAAACCAGGGCTTTCAATCTTGAAAGGGAAGGAAGAACAACATAGGAAGAGAAACGAGCAAGCCAAGAACTTGTGAATGAAAGTCTTCACTGCCACAGGCTGGATAATCTGGACAGTCCTACTTCTTTAATCTACCCACACCTCACTCCTCTATTTTCGCTCAAGACTCCATCCAATTCCCTCTATTCCACCATCAGCAGCATGCTGTCAGCACCCACACCCCTACACTCTGTTACTCTCTACGCCTCATCTTCACATTACACCTGAAGACTTTCTTCTTCGACTATGCCTTTAAGTCTGGTACACCACCCACCTCCGCTCACTGAAAAGCCAGGTGCGGGCTGCTGAACGCACCTGTGTCAAATCTGGCCTAACGGTCCACCGACAAATCTGGCTGGACCTCCTCAAAATTTACCGCTCCACTCTAGCCTCGGCCAAGTCGTCCTTCTACTCCAGGATAATCCTGGAGGCGAAGAACAACCCCAGGCTACTGTTTTCCACCACATCCCGACTCCTCCGTCCCCCCCGCCACCCCGCGCAGGTCATCTCCTCCAACCTTCACTGCGAGGAGATGCTGGATTTCCTTGAATCCAAGATCAAGGGAATCCGCTCCGCGGTCACTTCCCCTCCAACTTCCACCCACCACCCACCCCTTCCCTCCCACACTCCGACTCCTACCCATCCTCCCCTACACACCTTCGTACCCGTTTCCCCACCCTCTGTCACTGAACTCATCCTATCCCTAAAACCAACCACCTGCTCCCTTGACCCCATCCCCACTCCACTCCTTATCTCCCAGCTCCACTTTCTTGCCCCACATATCACTGACATCATCAACCTGTCCCTCTCCTCTGGCTCTGTCCCCATTCCATTAAAAACTGCCATCATCACGCCCACCCTGAAAAAACCCTCCCTTGATGCGTCGCAGCTATCAAGCTACCGGCCCATCTCCAACCTCCCCTTTCTCTCCAAGGTCTTGGAAAGAGTTGTCGCCTCCCAACTGCGCTCTTTCCTTTCCACCCATTCTCTTTTTGAACCCCTTCAGTCAGGTTTCCGTGCTGCCCATAGCACAGAAACTGCCCTGGTCAAGGTCACCAATGATATCCTGACCATCTGTGACCAGGGCTCCCTCTGTCTCCTCGTCCTCCTCGACCTATCGGCAGCATTCGATACGGTCGACCACGCTATCCTACTCCACCGCTTGTCCTCCCACCTCAACCTTCAAGGCACTGTCCTTGAATGGTTTAGGTCGTACCTTTCTCACCGTCTTCACTTTGTCTCAACGAATGGCTTCTCCTCCACCCCCCGTACTGTCTCATGTGGTGTCCCTCAGGGCTCTGTCCTCGGTCCCCTCCTCTTCACCCTCTATATGCTCCCCCTTGGTGACATCATCCGCAGACATGGAGTTAACTTCCACATGTATGCGGATGACACCCAACTCTACCTTTCCTCCTCTACTCTCAACTCCACGACCACCGATGTCCTGACAGCTGCCTGTCCGACATCGAGTCCTGGACGAGAGACAACTTTCTTCAGCTCAACGTGCGAAAAACCGAGGCCCTCCTGATTGGCTCACGTCAGCGCCTCCGCACCTCAGGCGCTGACACCATCAGCATCCAAGGCTGCACTCTCCACCTCTCAAAGCCAGTCAGGAACCTCGGCGTTTTGTTCGACCCTGAGCTGTCCTTTCTCCCTCACATCCGCACCACAACTGGCACCGCCTTCCATCACCTCCGGAACATCGCCAGACTACGGCATTACCTCACCCCTCACGCTGCTGAAACCCTGGTCCACGCCTTTGTCACCTCAAGGCTGGACTATGGGAACTCTCTCCTCGCCGGCCTTCCCGCCACCTCCCTCCACAAGCTGCAGGTCATTCAGAACTCTGCAGCTCGTGTACTGTCCCGCACCAGGCTTCGGGACCACATCACTCCCACCCTCGCTCGCCTCCACTGGCTCCCCATCCCCCAGAGGATTGATTTCAAGATCCTCATCCTCACCTACAAGGCCATTCACGGCCTTGCTCCCTCCTACCTCTCCAACCTACAATCCCCCTACCTACCTGCCCGTACCCTCCGTTCCTCTGGCTCTGGTCTGCTCCACGTCCCCCGCCCCAACCGCCCTACCATCGGTGGTCGGGCCTTCAGCCTCTCAGCCCCAGGCTCTGGAACTCCATCCCCCAGTGCCTTCGCCTTGCTTCCTCCCTTTCCTCCTTCAAGGCCGGTCTCAAAACCTTTCTCTTTGACCGTGCCTTCAGCTCCCCTCTCGACTCTCTTCCCCCTCCTCGCTCCCTCCCTTCCCTCACCCTGACCATTTCCCCCCTCCTCGCTCCCTCCCTTCCCTCCCCTCACCCTGACCATTTCCCCCCTGCTCGGGTCATGACCCAACTGTGCAGCGCCTTGGGACGTCCTCCTGACGTGAAAGGCGCTTTATAAATGGAATCTTGTTGTTGTTGTTGTTGTAAGTCTTCAACCCTCTCTCAGTGAGGCTCAGTGTCAGACTACATCAATGATCAGTGATCCAAGAGATGACTCCACATAAAAGGAAGCTACATAAACACTTTGACTATGCAGCGAATGAAAGTTCAAACTGAGCCTTACCATTCTTCCCCGGGATCTTGGCCAGCAGACTGAGCAGGATCTTGTTGAGGTTGTCTCTCTGTGCTCGCTGCTTGTCCTCTGAGCTGAGGTTCCCCTTTGGGCCGGTCTCCTTCTGCTGCTCCTCCAGATGAGGCATCTCAGTGGCCGGCTGCTCCTGGGCACTCGACATGTCCTCGATGATGGGTGGTGGCAGCTCCTCCTCTGGGGCCACCTCTTTACAGTGTAGTTTGGGGCGTTCCGTCTTCCATGATGACCTGACATTTCCCACAAAATATATGAAACAACAGTAAAATGGAGAAAGCTGAACACTTGGACACCTATCTATACCTAGGTTCTGGCTCAATACAACAGGGTTACAGCCAAAGGCCGCTGGAAGGAGTGAGTGAAATGCTTTATGTCCTGCGTAGCTGTAAGTGATGTGCCCCATTGCTGTGATTACTGGCCTTTGGTAGTGAAAGCACACCTAGTGAGCTGTCTGGTACAAACGTCAACCTATTGACTGTCACATCTTTTACCAGTATTGAGTCTGACTCACAGAGCACGAGGTGGGAGGAAAGCACATGCAGCAAACAGACACATGTGTGTCAACCCCAACCCCCAACCAGAACCAAAGCAAATAGTGGCAATAGTAGGAGAACTTGGTAGGGGGCCTGTTCCAGGAATCAGCATTCAGCCTCACAAAGAGTTTCCAATGATTGACTGTTCAGTTACTTTAATCAGCACTAACTATTTTGCACTTATAATAATATCTGTATTTGATACACCAACTATCACACCAAAAAGAACTCCACGGGGAATAGCAGTCAGTTGGGATGATTGGCTTTTGCAGACAAACACAGTCAGTGTTTCCCCATAGCAACATCTCACAAACAACCATGAAGCGAATTACCAATTTATCCAGACCAGGCTGCTCCAACCTTTTGGCTGCTGAGGGTCAGATGTCCTATTTGAGAAATCTCTCAAGAGAGTCACATAAGCAATATTTTGCGTTTCCCTCCAGAAACATAACAAGAATTTGCATTTATACAGCGCCCTTCGTGCAGGGGTAGTGTCCCAGAGTGCTTGACACTGGTGGAGTCTGACTTTGAGCCAGGGGACAGGAAGGGGATCGGTAACCCATAAGCATAATCAAAAGAGGAAGGACCTTAAGTTGTATTTGAAGGTGAGGAGGGAGAGGCAAGGTACAGGGATTGAGTTCCAGCGTTTCGTATGTAGTGGCTGAAAGCACAGCCCCCGATGGTGGAGTGGAGGGCATTAGGGACAAACAGGAGACAGGAGGCAGCGAGTGGTGGAGTGGGGGTGTAAGCAAATTGGATAGGTTTAGAAATACGAGGGAATGAAGTTATTTGAAAATGAGTGAGAGGATCCTGAAATCAGTTCAGTAATCGATTTCAATCGAGCCATGTCAGCCTAGCAAGGACTGGTGTGATGGGGGCACGAAGTTTCATGTGGGTGGCGGAGTTCTGAATTAATGAATTTTGTGTTTGGTGGAGCTGGGGAGTCCAGCGAGAAGGGCATTAGAATAGCCAGCGAGGAAGTGATGAAAGTCTGGATGAGGGTTTTGGCTGCTGTGGATGGAGGCGGACAATGTAACATAGGTAGTCCTGATCAGGAAACTCATGTGGGGTAGAAAAGGAAAGCTATCTAGTTACACCTGGTTCAGACAGTCTGAGGAAGAGCCCCGGGAGGTTGAGGTGTTCAGTCCCACAGGAGAAAAGATGTTGATGGGAGCCAAAGACTATGGCTTCTGTCTTGCCGACATTCAGCTGCAGGAAATTTACTGTCATCCAGGTCCTGATGTCTATCAGACAACTAGATTTGTGTGTCACCCACATAACTAGAAGTTTACCCCGTGTCTGCGGATAGAGATCGCCCAGAGAGAGCATATAGATAAGGAAAAGAAGAGGGATGAAGTGGAGGTCGAAGGAGAAACCATTTGCTGAGATGAAGTGGAAGCGGGTGGATAAGCAGGACTCGAACCAAACAAGTGCGGTCCCACTAAGGTGGATGAGGGAGGGAGGAGGGGCGGTAGAGGAGAATGCGTGATTAACTGTATCAATTGCAGCAGAGAGACCTAGGAAGATGAGGAAGTAGAGGGAGCCCTGGTCACAGATAGAGAGGATATCGTTTGTGACTTTGACAAGCACTGTCTCTGTGCTGTGGGCAGGGCAAAAACCGGACTGCAGGGCTTCAAGGAGTGGAGGGAGAGGTGTGACCATAGTTGATTGGCAACCACGTGTTCCAAAACTTCAGCAGGTTTGAGGTTGGTCTAAAGTTGTAAGGATCGAGGTTTTTTAAGGAGAGCTGATGACTGGTTTTAGGGGGAGTGGGACAGAGCCTGAGGAGAGAGACTGGTTAACTGCATTAGCCAGCATGGGCAGAGGATGGGTAATTGATTGACCAAAAGCTGGGTGGGGAGGAGGTTGAGGCAGCAGATTGTGGGCTTCACTTTGGTGATGAAGGTAGAAAGGAGGCAGGAGAGATGGAGGCAAATGTGTGTAGGTATATGCTGTGATGAGGGGAGAAGGTGATGAAGAAGGCATGGGGTGAGGAGGAGGAGGCAGCCAGGTGGATGTTGTCGATCTTGGAGATAAAGAAGTCCAGAACCTCTTCATCTAGTTTTCCATGGTTCACTACCAGGACAGATGATCATATCTTCCCTCGCCCACCGCAGGGGAACCAAGAAGACACCGAGTGATGCGCTAATCAGTGTCCTCACAGAAAACTCCCTTTCCCTAGGGAGAAACTACTCTACGCTTTTAATTCCCTCATCTCATCCTACTGCTGTGCCCTCCTGACTGAGCCATTCCCTTTGCTTAGACCCTCACCAACTTGCTTCATGCGCCCCGCCAGATTTGCCCATCATTGCCATTTGCCTCTGCTCTCTGAAGCTCTATTTCTGTAGTTCTCTAGACTCGGTCACTCTCTCTCTTCTTTCAACCCACATCAACACCTAACTCTTTGACCACACTTTCGGTCATCTTTTCCCTTCCCCATTCCACACTCGGCTAAGCACCTGCCCCCAGCTCAGCTACCCAGTCAGCAGTGTCAAGCACTTTGAGATTTTTTTTGACATGAAAAAGGCGCTGTGTAAATGTTATGTTTTTGAGGGAAACACAAAAATATTACTTATGTGGCCTTCAGACATTTCTCAAATTGGGCATCCGGCCCTCAGCAGCCAAAACGTTGGGGCTTGACCCCACAACAATGTGACCCAGACCTAGTGTGCCATAAACTAAGCCAAGCTGACAACTGGTATGGTAGCTCTATCTCCCACATGCTCATTGATGACATGACATTTTCTCAGCTTAAAGCTCAATTTAAATTCTGAATCAATAGCAATAAAATCAGATCAAAAAGATTCATTCAGTCAGTCACTCATTTAACTTGCTCGTAGCTTTACTCACATCTTTGTTAAGGCTGTTTGGTAGGTGGGAGTGCAGCAAAGTCTAAGATGAAGGGAAATAAAAGTCACCCGAGGTAGCAGTGGAAACGTTAGTGTTTCTGTCTGGATCAGCTGCTGGCAGAGGGCACAGCACTGCTCTACACCAGCGCCAGTGTGCCAAGGGGTGAGCGATGCATTCCAAACCAAGCTCGAGTGGGTGGCGGTCTGTACAGTCTGTACCTCCCTCCCCGAGTCAGCAGCACACATACCCACCTACAGTCGACAGCAGTGCTTTTCTGTGCCCAGTTCAATGAGAAATGTCAGTCCAGCACTGGGGCCAGGGTTCAATGCCTATCTACCTGTGTGCTTGGGGCTCCCCATCCCAGCAGAACAGTTTGATGTTGAGGCCCCCACCCACCCCTCTACCCTGCATTGTGCCGTGGCACGGTTTGGAGTGTGTGCGTCGCTCGCCCCCAGTACTCAGCTCTGCTCTCGAGGTAGGAATGTGACCTGTGCAATCAGATTCCCCCGATCGAGTCCATTCCAAACAAAAGCAAGACAGACACACAGACAGACAGACAGACAGACAGACAGACAGACAGACAGACAGACAGACAGACAGACAGACAGACAGACAGACGGACGGACGGACGGACGGACGGACGGACGGACAGACGGACAGACGGACAGACGGACAGAAAGAAAGAAAGAAAGAAAGAAAGAAGGAAAGAAGGAAGGAAGGAAGGAAGGAAGGAAGGAAGGAAGGAAGGAAGGAAGGAAGGAAGGAAGGAAGGAAGGAAGGAAGGAAGGAAGGAAGGAAGGAAGGAAGGAAGGAAGAAAGAAAGAAAGAAAGAAAAAAAGAAAGAAAATGTAGCGCACAGGTACGACCACCTGGGAGGCATGCCAAGAGAACATGAAATCCCATCCTGGCATAGTGTGGGATTTAACCCTTTACATTAACTGCACCTTGAGGCTTCTCTCCATGTTTGTGAGAATTGAAATCGAGCTGAACAAACTAAATCCTGAGGGGTTAAAGCAGTGAGGAGTTGGCAATAATAATAATAATAATCCTTGCATTTGATATAGCGCTTTTCACGTCGAGAGGACGTCCCAAAGTGCTTCACAGAACACACTGTAAAGTGAATTGACTGTATATTTGTGGGCGAATGCGGCAGCCAATTGCGCACAGCAATGTCCCACAAACAGTCGTAGATTGAAAATGACCAATTTATTATTGTTTTTGGTTTTGGAGGGAATATTATTAGGCTCTGTGTGGAGTAAGGAAACTTGCCCAAGGTTTCGCCCTATCTGGAATTGAACTCGGGTCTCTCGCTTGCAAAGCGAGTGCTCTAACCACTGAGCTACAGGACTCCACGAAGATGTAAGCCAAGCACAGTGAACACAGTGCCTACACCAAACCTACAGGACCCATTCTCCTGAACCGCTTGTTACAATTGTGAGGTGAAACGGTTAAGGCTTGCTGGTGAAACGGGATGAAACTCCACTCATTAACCATCATCAGCATTAGCCCAGGAGATCAGAGGGTGTTAGAGGAGCAATGCTACCCCTGAAGTACTGATCATCAGCTGTACATACAAACAGAGCCAACACCCAGAGCCACTCTGCTTTCTCTACCAGAGCTTTGCCGAGTGACATTCTGTACTTCGGTGTGGAATGACAGCCTCAGAGGGTTAATACCGCTGGACACAGGAGAGAGAGAGAGAGAGAGAGAGAGAGAGAGAGAGAGAGGTGGGTGCAGACACTCAAGCAACATATCCCAAAGGTGACTCACCTTCCTCCATTCCTCTTGTAATTTTCGGGGACGTAGTGAGGCTGGTCAACGGTGAGAGGAAAATAAAAACACAAAGCTATAGTGAAAGCTATGACATCACATCACACTCATTGCACACAGGCCCTCGTCTCAGGGGCTGGGCTGGGAACCAGACACCGCTCACTGTGACAGTCCCAGGATTTTCCATCAATTTTCAGGGAAACATATCCTGCCTGCGGTGGCATAAACCCATACAGACAGTACAGTGGCGGGTAGGGAAAGAGAGCTCAGAGGATCCAATCTGTACAAGGTAACTTCCTATCTACACACATGGAGCTCAGCAACCAGGTAAACCAAACAAATCCACCCCCAAAACAGCATAAACACGCCTGGTATCAGCACTGCAGATCCACACAACTCCAGATGTTTCTCATGTCAAAAGCCACAAATCTTTCCCTTCTACTCCCTCCCTCCCCCTTGCTCCCCTCTCTGTCCCCATCTCCGCCTCCCCTCCTCTCGCACTCACAGAGAAGTCTCTCTTGGGCGTTAGCTTCTTAGGGAAGTGATCGAACGCGTAGGACTTCGTGCAGACAGGGTAGCGGTTCCGGTGGATCTTGTAGAACAGGTGTGCTGACTTGTCCAGGCGGTAATCACAGATGGAAACGTCTTGGTCTTTCACACCCTTCGGCCTCCCTGCAGGGTTGATGAGGGGAGAACGGGAAGAGATGTGGTTACAGACTGGTAGGGCTGACTGCTGTGCCAACACACCCTTAGCCTAATTAATAATAATAATAATCCTTGCATTTGATATAGCGCTATTCACGTCGGGAGGACGTCCCAAAGCGTTTCACAGAACACACTGTAAAGTGAATTAACTGTATATTTGTGGGCGAACGCGGCAGCCAATTGCGCACAGCAATGTCCCACAAACAGTCGTAGATTGAAAATGACCAATTTATTATTGTTTTTGGTTTTGGAGGATTATTATTAGGCTCTGTGTGGAGTAAGGAAACTCGCCCGAGGTTTGGCCCTGACCCCCCGGGGATTGAACTCAGGTCTCTCACTTGCAAAGCGAGTGCTCTAACCACTGAGCTACAGGACTCCACAAATTGTAGAACAGATGCCTGGACGAGCGATCCCCTCATGATCTGTTATAAACAACATGCTCAAGTCCATTCAATTATACCTCATGTAATAACAGTGCCCCAAATAAAAACACACACTGCTTGTTAGGCCCTCACTCTGCTCACCACCACAGACTTGTTGAGCATTGCATACCATTCTAAGGGTCTACATCTTTAGTTATTAATTGCCAATATAATAATAAAAAAGAATTTGGTCGCTCAATCCACGATTCTTTGTGTGATGCTGTTTTGCGTAATTGCTGCCGTGTTTCACCTTCACAATATACTGTTAATTCACTTTACAGTGTATTCTTTGAGATGTCGAGAAGATGTAAAATGCGCTATATCAAATGCAAGTATTATTATAATATCTGGTATTCGACTACTCTATCCATATGCCTTGCTCCCTATCCATAGAAGGGCACCAGTTTGGAGTTACAGGAGGGAATTTGAATGGGTGAAGCGGTGTGTGGGATAGGAGGAAAAGACAGGAGGCAGGTGCTGGACAGAGCGAATGGAGAGGGAGCTGGAGGCTGCTGTAGCTCACCTTTGCAGTAAGTGTAGAGATCGAGCACACAGCACGTCCCCACCACGGCCTCCAGAGGGATGATCTCGTACAGCGGCACCCGGAACAGCTCGTTGTGGTAGAAGCGTCTCGATGGTGAGTGATGCGTCTCATGTGGCCGGAAGTAATGGTGACCAAAGGCAAAGCGCTCTCCTCTGTCACAACACAAAGCCAGAGCAGTGACAACCCCATCATACCACGTAGGTACACTCGGCTCCGCATACAAGCCATTCACACGCATGTGCATATCCTGTTTGCAATGCACCACTAGGAAGATTTGTATACAACAAAGTTATTTGCACAGCACCTTTCATATACTGTCCACAACCAAGAGAGAGAAAAACAGTGTGCAAAGCCAGACTCTGGCACCAACTGCTCAGATAGTTCCTCAAAGTTGGTGCCATTAGTTGGGTTGGGGGGATGGGTGGGGGGACAGCTTGTGAATTGGTGTAACCTGTCACTGTAACCACTTACTTTTCATTCTTCCAGAGCTTCTCGATGCGGAAGATGTCTAGTTTGTCGCGGTTGATGTGGGACAGTAGTCTGTAGGACTGTCGGACGGGTTGGCCTTCAGGCCCTCTCCTGTTGTCCCTCATCAGATACACACAATCACCTGCAACAAAGCACACAATCACCTGCAACAAAGCACACAGCGAGCCAGCCCCAGGCAGGACCGAGATAGAACAAGGCTGAGAGCAAGTGCTGCCAACCAAAAGGAGAGAAGGTAGGACCTGTAATTACAATGGAAATGCTGAAATCCCTATTCCAACCACTACCTCCCTCCCTCCACCACCGAACCCAACCTGATGTGGATGACAGAGCAGTGTTAGCTGTTTACAGGAACCTGGCAGTACAGAGGCCGGTTTACTCACCATGCCGTAGCAGCAGATCATCCCGCAGCAGACAGATGTAGTAAACACAGCCAGGCTGGGCGTAGTGAGGCTGTGGGATCATAGGAACCTCCTGAGAGAGAAAGTGAGAGACAGAGAGAGACAGAGGGTTACACAGTACACACAGCAAGTGCAGATTTCTGAATACCCCAGTGACCAATATAATGCTACCTTCCTGTCAGGCTGGTGAGGAAGGGTGGTCATTACAAAGGGAGTGGTAATCCCATCTCTGATGTTTTGAATAGTTTTTCCGTTTAATGTGGGATGGTTCCAGTCACTCTCCGTTCATATATGAGCACATTGCAGCTCGACCCTATCCTCACCCACTCACATCAAACCCCAGGTTGAAGAGGGTGATCAGTCAGGTATCTGACACATGTGGAAACCAATCACTGTGCTTAAGAGTCTTCAAGCCAAACTTTGAATTCCGTGCATCCCACCTACACCACCACTAATATAGTGCCCTTAATAATAATAATTCTTTCATTTAATATTGTGCTTTGTCAATGAAACATGATAAGGCACTATATCAAATGCAAGGATTAATATTGCACACACATTAAACTCTGTATCCCCATCACACCGGTCCTTGCCAGGCTCCACTGGCTCCCTATCACACACACTATTAAGAGTTTGGTGTCAATTGGGAGCCAGCGGAGCCTGGCAAGGACCAGTGTGAGATGGGGATATGGAGTTTAGTGTGTGTGATAGGGAGTCAGTGAAGCTCCAAGATAATGTGTAGTGACTGCATGTTTTGTGAGCGAAATGCAGCAGCCTAGCAGTGTCCCACAAACAGTCATGGATTGAGCAATCAATCTGTTTTAATTTGTTTGAAGGAATTAATACATCCAGAAAAGTGATCCGCCAATCAAATAACAACCGGGTTCCTATTTACTGCTAGGTAAACAGAGGCTTATGTGTGGAGTAAAGAAAATTGTCTAAGATTTCACCTTGCCTGGGAATCAAAGCCAGATCTTCTTGCTTGTGAGGCAAATGCTCTAACCACTAAGTTACAGGACTGCACATCATATGAGATAGCGTCTCAGAGCGCTTGACAGTGGCGGATTCTGACAATGTGCTAGGGGGAGAAAGAGGTGATTGCAAGCATGATCAAAAAGGAAGATCTTTAGATGGGATTTAAACGTGGGGAAGGAGGGGGAAAGGCAGAGGGATTGAAGGAGAGAGTTCCATAGTTTAGAGATGCAGTGGCTGAAGGTAAGTTTACCAATGGTGGAGTTTGACGAGGGACAAACAGGAGGCCGGAACCAGATGAGTAGAGGTAGGGGAGTGGGGGCGCAGTTGAGCGGTAATCAAATTGGCTAGATAGGGAGGTGCAACGGAATGAAGGGATTTGAAAACGAGCGAGAAGGTCTTGAAATCAGTGTGTTTGGTAATTGGGAGTCAGTGGAGTCTGGCAAGGACTGGTGTGATGGGGGTACAGAGTTTAGTGTGTGTGACAGGGAGTCAGGGGAACCTGGAGGACTGGCAAGTTAGGGATACAGAGTTTTGTGCAGGTGAGTATCCAGTCAGCAGAGTTTTGAGTGAAATAGATTTTGTGTATGGTGGAGCTGGGGAGATCAGCAAGGAGGGCATTAGAACAGTCCAGTCAGGAAATGATGTGAACGCGGGTTTCACCTACACTTGAAAATCCCAGAGATAAGAATGTTGCAATGCTTTGCAAACACTCTCCTTCAAAGGACTCATCTTGCTTGCATAATTCCGGAGAGTATAATAACTGGTGAGCCCAGAGTGTGTGTTGGGGTAACTGCTGGAGTCTAACCAGCTAAACCCACACAGCTTGGCCATGGAGAGAGAGAGAGAGCACTGTCTGGACAGCTTTCCCGCTGCTTGTCCAGCTAGAACCACCCTCCCCATTAGTTAGTTAGTCAGGGCTTTGGCTGCGGGGCTAACAGGAGCTCAGGGGGAGGATTCCCTGCCCCCCCCAGCGACTGGTCAGCCCTTCCAGTTCCTGCTGATGAGCCAGGCCGGGCTGTGCTGCCATCAGCAGTGAGTGTCCTGGGTTACTGTGGACCCTCCTGGCTCAGGAACCAGACTAGAGACCGGCACAGAGACCGGGATCGTTTCTGACACTCCGTTGCCAGGTCTGTCACCTTTGGGGCCAGTTCAGCTCCAAACAGACACCACTCACCCCCTCCTGAAAGAGAATAGTCACCAGTTGGTTGTTTGACATCTGCCAAATGTGGGTTTGAGCCCTCACTAGCGTACAAGGAAGTGCCTGCAAACTTCCTGGTGGACAACACAGCTCAGCATGAAATGCGTGAGAGCATGTCCCTTCCTCTTCAACATATACATGCTCTCACTCAGAGATGTCATCCGCAAGGATGGAGTCAATTTCCACATTTTTGTGGATGACACCCAACTCCATCTCGTTGCCTCCACTCTCGACTCCAGGACCACTGCTATCTTGGCTGATTGTCTGCCTGTCATCAAGTCCTGAATGAGAGCTAACTTCCTCCAGCTCAATGTTAGCAAGACAGAGTTGTGTTGTTGTTGTATCTTCCTGTCCACAACTCGGGCACATGTCCCTTTCCAATGAGTGATGGTTCCACCAGTTGGAGGTATAGAGCTTAAGCAGCAGCTGCTTACCTCTCTGCAGACTAATTAAGTTAGGTTCCAGACGCTGAACGTAGAATTGTGTGTTCACGACTCGATCCATGTAACACCCTCCAGCAGCTGTTGCCCCAACCTTCAGAATTTCCTCATCAGCTATCTGGCAGGCTTCTGCCTTCAGCATGTTGGGGGATCTTTTACAGGTCAGCTTGTGACGACCAGTCACCATGATGTTCTTGAGCTCCAAGTTCAATATCATGAACCAGGTTTTCCCAGCAGTATCAAAATCTGGGGGTAGATAGTTCAATCCCTGGATAGCTATCAGGAGCAGAGGAATCCTAGCTGATTTCACCCCATCCTAACCCAAGCGAGTGTTAGAGGAGGCTTACCCTATCCACCGAGCGAGGATCACACTGCTCACACAGGTAGTGTTCGACGTCTGCTGTGACCAGCATGCAGTCGCAGTGCTGCCACACCTGGGATAGAGGGGAGAAGTCAGACATGAACATACAGCACTACTGCTCTGGCGGAGAGGACAAGGGCTGCTCTGCTTAGAGGATGGAAGCTACCCTTCCAAATGGTAATTGCTGTCCTTTCCCTACTCTGTAGAATCACTGTGAATTCAGTGAGGATCACTGCAAAGTGTAGTGACTGTGTTTTTCAGGCAAATGTAGCAGCCAATTTGCACACAACAATGTCCCACAAAACAACAATAAATTCAATGGGCGTAGGGAGAGACAAAGAAAAATAATCTCCTTCCTTCACTTCTCTTTACAATGTCACATGAACGTTAATTCTTTAATAAGAAAATAAGGATATCTACAACTATGCAGTCCTCTCTCCTCCGCTCCCACTGGAGCATCTGACAAACTGTTAGCTCACCTTGAATTCAACCTTCTGAACCTGAGCCAAGAGTGCTACCAACTAAGCCAAACTACATATGTGTAAAAGAGCTGATATTATTACACATGAAGGCCGAGCTAACACTCCAGCAGTGTTGAAGCAACCAATATCACTGCAGGACAAGGTACAGTCCTCACCATGCACTTCTCACACTGGATCATCAGCCCCTCGTCCTTGTACAGGCCACAGATGCAGCGGATGACGTCGTCGTCCTTCTCGTTACTGTTCTCCTTCTCCCCAATGGAGATGTCGCTGCTGTCCGCCTCGCTGGCTGTCTCCCCGATGATCTCATCAATCTGAGCCGCAGCTTCGTGACGAGCGTTGTAGTAAACCTTCCTCAGCCGGCTCACGTCTCGGCCCGTGGCAGATTTCCTGCCGTAATATTTCTGAGAGGAAACAAGCAGCAGCACACTCAGGTGGTACTCAATACAAAATATAGGAGATTGATTGCAGAAATATTTCTACAACAGGTTAGAGACCCAGTAAAGCTCCCTCTACACTGTGCGTCCACACTCCCAGGTCAGGGTTACAGACACAGTAAACCTCCTCTACACTGTGCGTCCACACTCCCAGGTCAGGGTTACAGACACAGTAAAGCTCCTCTACACTGTGTGTCCACACTCCCAGGTCAGGGTTACAGACACAGTAAACTTCCTCTACACTGTGCGTCCACACTCCCAGGTCAGGGTTACAGACACAGTAAAGCTCCTCTACACTGTGTGTCCACACTCCCAGGTCAGGGTTAGAGACACAGTAACGCTCCCTCTACACTGTGTGTCCGCACTCCCAGGTCAGGGTTACAGACACAGTAACGCTCCTCTACACTGTGCGTCCACACTCCCAGGTCAGGGTTACAGACACAGTAAAGCTCCCTCTACACTGTGCGTCCACACTCCAAGGTCAGGGTTACAGACACAGTAAAACTCCTCTACACTGTGCGTCCACACTCCCAGGTCAGGGTTACAGACACAGTAAAGCTCCCTCTACACTGTGACTACGTCCACACTCCCAGGTCAGGGTTAGAGACTTCCCCCAAAGCTCACAAGGTTTCCATCTCCTAGCGTGTAAGGAACATGTGAGTATTGCCCTGCAGTCAGTGGACTGCAGTTGTGCTCTACTGCTAGAGGTTTAGAGCAGAGCTGAGCGCTCAGAATGTGCTTGCTCACCTCAGCATTCCTGAAGACTTTCAGCATGTCAGCATCAAAGGCCTCCACCGTCTTGTAGTGACCCGTGAGGATCTGCTTCTCAATGCTGACAAGGTCAATGGGGTCTGTGATCTTCGCATAGTAATCTGCTTTTCTGCACAAAAATACAGACTTCTTGTTAGTAGAATTGTGTGCAAGGGTTGATGCCTGGAGAGCTACCTCTCTTCTCCACCCTGCATTCCCCATCATTACATCCTCTGCCACAAGAGAACTCATGAGGGCTCGCTCGGTATGGCTACCGCCATGAGCCGCATAGACCAGGTCGATGTTTAGGGTTAGGAGCCGAGGTCATCTCCTAGTGGTGTCTGGGTACTAGCAGTAACCCCACCTAAAGGAGGAGCATAGTCTCACCCCATCCCACAGAATCAAAGGACGAGGTGATGAAGTTAGCAGGGAAACAGCAGCCTCTCCAGTGGTGGTGAGGGTGTAGGGGGCACGGGAGAGAGGGAAGATTTGTACCTATATATAGTATCTAATACAATGTGGTTTCAAGCCAGGAAATGTATGGTTGAGCTGGAAGGGGCAGCTGTTCCATGCTACATACTGTAACACCGTGCACTTATGTTACTTACTTTTTCCTGGAGGGAAGACTGAGCAATGGTGCAGCCAACACGTGTTCCAATGAATCTAATGAAATGGAGGGGAAAAAATTGTAAACTGAACCCCGAAAAGTTACATTTACAACCCACCCACCATGTTTAAAGCTGCCCCACAGGATAATTCAGCCCATGGCAACCACTTCCCAAACCCACCATGCAAAAGATGAACGATACACACAAACACATACAGATACACAAACATACACAGATACCCAAACATATGCAGATACCCAAACACATACAGACACACAAACACATACAGATACACAAACACATACAGATACACAAACACATACAGATACACAAACACATACAGATACACAAACACACACAGATACGCAAACACATACAGATACACAAACACATACAGATACACAAACACACACAGATACGCAAACACATCCAGATACAGAAACACATACAGATACACAAACACAAACAGATACACAAATACATACAGATACACAAACATACAGATACACAAACACATACAGACACACAAACACATACAGACACACAAACACATGCAGATACACAAACATACACAGACACACAAGCACATACAGACACACAAACACATAGAGATACACAAACACATAGATACACATCACATACAGATACACAAACACATACAGACACACAAACACATAGAGATACACAAACATACACAGACACATAAGCACATACAGACACACAAACACATAGATACACATCACATACAGATACACAACACATACAGACACACAAACACATAGAGATACACAAACACATAGATACACATCACATACAGATACACAACACATACAGACACACAAACACATAGAGATACACAAACACATAGATACACATCACATGCAGCCACACAAACACATACAGATACACAAACACATACAGACAAGCAAACACATAGATACACAATATATAGACATACAAACACGTACAGATACACAGAAACATACAGATACGCAAACACAAAACAGACAAACAAACACATAGATACACAACATACAGACGTACAAAGACGTACAGATACACAGAAACATACAGATACACAAACACATACAGATACACAAACACATACAGATATACAAACACAAACAGATACACAAACACATACAGATACACAAACACATACAGATACACAAGCACATACAGATACACAAACACATACACAAACAGATACACAAACACATAGAGATACACAAACATGTACAGACACACAAACACATACAGATACACAAACACATACAGATACACAAACACATACAGCCACACAAACAGATACACAAACACACACAGATACAAAAACACATAGAGATACACAAACACATACAGATACACAAACACATACAGACACACAAACACATACAGATACACAAACACATACAGACACACAAACACATACAGATACACAAACACATACAGATACACAAACACATACAGATACACATACACAAACAGATACACAAACACATAGATACACAAACATATACAGCCACACAAACACATACAGACAAACAAACACATAGATACACAACATATAGACATACAAACACGTACAGATACACATAAACATACAGATACACAAACACAAACAGACAAACAAACACATAGATACACAACATACAGACAAACAAAGACGTACAGATACACAGAAACATACAGATACACAAACATATACAGATACACAAACACATACAGATACACAAACGATACACAAACACATACAGCCACACAAAGACATACAGACACACAAACACATACAGATACAAAAACACACAAACACATACAGATACCCAAACACATACAGATACACAAACACATACAGACACACAAACACATAGAGATACACAAACACATAGAGATACACAAACACATAGAGATACACAAACACATACAGGTACACAAACACATACAGCCACACAAACACATACGGACACATAAACACATACAGATACACAAACGCACACAGATACACAAACATATACACAAACAGATACAGCCACCCAAACACATACAGATACACAAACACATACAGATACACAAACACAAACAGATACACATACACAAACAGATACACAAACACATAGATACACAAACATATACAGCCACACAAACACATACAGACACACAAACACACAGATACACAAACACATAGATACACAACACATACAGATACAGAAATACATACAGATACCCAAACACATACAGATACCCAAACACATACAGATACACAAACACATACAGATACACAAACACATACAGATACACAAACACATACAGACACACAAACACATACAGATACACAAACACATAGAGCCACACAAACACATACAGACATACAAACACATAGAGATACACAAACACATAGATACACAACACATACAGATACAGAAACACATACAGTTACACAAACACAAACAGATACACAAATACATACAGATACACAAACACACATAGATACACAAACACATACAGACACACAAACATACAGATACACAAACACATACAGATACACAAACACATACAGACACAGAAACACATACAGATACCCAAACACATACAGATACACAAACACATACAGACACAGAAACGCATACAGATACACAAACACATACAGATACACAAACACATACAGATACACAAACACATACAAATACACAAACACATACAGATACACAAACACATACAGACACACAAACACATACAGATACACAAACACATAGATACACAACACATACAGATACAGAAACACATACAGATACACAAACACAAACCGATACACAAATACATACAGATACACAAACACACATAGATACACAAACACATACAGACACACAAACATACAGATACACAAACACATACAGATACACAAACACAAACACGTACAGACAAACAAACACATAGATACACAACATATAGACATACAAACACGTATAGATACACAGAAACATACAGATACACAAACACAAACAAACATAGATACACAACATACAGACACACAAACACATACAGATACACAGAAACATACAGATACAGAAACACATACAGATACACAGAAACATACAGATACACAAACATATACAAATACACAAACACATACAGATACACAAACGATACACAAACACATACAGCCACACAAAGACATACAGACACACAAACACATACAGATACACAAACACACACAAATACACAAACACATACAGATACCCAAACACATACAGATACCCAAACACATACAGATACACAAACACATACAGACACACAAACACATACAGATACACAAACACATACAGACACACAAACACATACAGATACACAAACGCACACAGATACACAAACACATACAGATACACAAACACATACAGACACACAAACACATACAGATAAACAAACACATACAGCCACACAAACACATACAGATACCCAAACGCATACAGATACCCAAACACATACAGCCACACAAACACAAACAGATACACAAACACACACAGATACACAAACACATACAGATACACAAACACATACAGACACACAAACACATCGAGATACACAAACACACATAGATACACAAACACATACAGATACCCAAACACATACCGATACACAAACACACACAGATACCCAAACACGTACAGATACACAAACATACACAGGTACACAAACACATACAAATACACAAACACATACAGATACACAAACAGATACACAAACACATACAGATACACAAACACATACAGATACACAAACACATACAGATACCCAAACACATAGAGATACACAAACACATAGATACACAATACATACAGATACAGAAACACATACAGATACACAAACACAAACAGATACAGAAATACATACAGATACACAAACATATACAGATACACAAACACATACAGATACCCAAACACATACAGAAACACAAACACATACAGATACACAAACGCACACAGATACACAAACACATACAGATACACAAACACATACAGGTACACAAACAGATACAGCCACACAAACACATACAGATACACAAATGATACACAAACACATAGAGCCACACAAAGACACACAGACACACAAACACATACAAATACACAAACACATACAGACACACAAACACATACAGATACACAAACACATACAGACACACAAACACATACAGATACACAAACGCACACAGAAACACAAACACATACAGATACACAAACACATACAGATACACAAACGCACACAGAAACACAAACACATACAGATACACAAACACATACAGACACACAAACAAATACAGATACCCAAACGCATACAGATACCCAAACACATACAGACAAACAAACACATAGATACACAACATATAGACATACAAACACGTACAGATACACATAAACATACAGATACACAAACACAAACAGACAAACAAACACATAGATACACAACATACAGACAAACAAAGACGTACAGATACACAGAAACATACAGATACACAAACATATACAGATACACAAACACATACAGATACACAAACGATACACAAACACATACAGCCACACAAAGACATACAGACACACAAACACATACAGATACAAAAACACACAAACACATACAGATACCCAAACACATACAGATACACAAACACATACAGACACACAAACACATAGAGATACACAAACACATAGAGATACACAAACACATAGAGATACACAAACACATACAGGTACACAAACACATACGGACACACAAACACATACAGATACACAAACGCACACAGATACACAAACACATACACAAACAGATACAGCCACCCAAACACATACAGATACACAAACACATACAGATACACAAACACAAACAGATACACATACACAAACAGATACACAAACACATAGATACACAAACATATACAGCCACACAAACACATACAGACACACAAACACACAGAGATACACAAACACATAGATACACAACACATACAGATACAGAAATACATACAGATACCCAAACACATACAGATACCCAAACACATACAGATAC